TTAGGTGTCCAACTTGTACGAAAAAGGCAAGGCATGTTGGCAAGGAGGAAGGAATTCAGATCCTAGGCACAGCAGTCGCCAGGACGTCCTCATGTCCGTCCTTTTGTTTTTTGTTTTGGGTGCAAGAAGGATGTAATCGCCGCGCCGAGTCGGGACGCAAGCGCGTGTTGGTTATTTTGACCCGAGGCGCCCCCCCCCCCGGGCCAACATTCCGAATTCATTGTCGTTGACTTGGCGTGCGCATGGATCACCTGTGGATGTCGCCGTTTAAACCTGCGTCTCTCTTCTTCACTTCAGCGAACAGCCTTCGAGAGACGATGCAGCTCTGTCGATGGTTTCATGTAAGCTGCCAGTGTTCGAATACACGCAGACGAAGAAGGAACCCATCCTAGCGGCAGTGTACAACTCTGTCGGTACACTGGAAGGTCTGTCAGCTTCCCGTTGAGTCAGGAACTACGATAAGACTTCGATTTTCAAGGATCAGCGTACATAATTCGCGCCTAGGAGGCTGGCACAGAATTTCAATTATTCTCGCGTAAATAATATGGGGCCTTATTTTACAGAACTGCTGAATGGAATCGTAGGTGGCCGAGAGGGTTAATTTGTTGTTTATTTAAAGGTTCAAGGCACTCTAGTTTGCGTATTTTATCGCCTGCCAAGAGCGGAAAGAAGAGGAAAATAAACTTTGTTGTGCAGTTCGGTTACAACTTATACCAGGAAGAAACAATTCTAACCGACTTGCCAAGATCAACTCGTGGGGTACAATAATGCCCATAAGCCTGTCTCCGCCGTAGATAATGACTGTCTGTATCTTATTTAAAGGATTGAAGGTCCTGACGTAACAAACGGAAACAGAAGCCAACATATCTGGGGCGCAGGTAGTCGTACATGACAGTGACCTACGGCTCAGAGTCGAGGCTGGCGAAGAAGGCTTCATTGGTGGGATGATTTTGAATTCTGTTTAACTCAAAACTTTAACCGCGTGGATTACTGTTCTGGGTGTAATTGGGGGGAGGGAGGGGGGGACTTCAGGGACTACTTTGAGGTAAACCAAATTTAAATGTAAACATTATTCTATCGCCATGTTAAACCCTTCGATGCCGCAGGTCTTTCAAATAATATTTAATAATTCAGTTTAGTACCGCAAAAGAATGCACGTTTTACCATTGCAGAGATGAACTCATGAATGCTGCTTAGGGAAATAATGAAATCACTTCTGTTTGCATTGAGAACCAGAAATCTCACAAACATTATCTTATCCTGCTTTTCCTTAAGGACCGAGTTTATTATCTTAATGTCATGAACGTCTTGTTGCAAAGAAAAGAAACTTGTATGTGACGCAGACTCGTCTTATCTTGTTTCTTATCTTGTGTTTGCGTGGTACTTACCTGAAGGAGCAAGGCATTTGTTTTCTGCGTGCCATCACGAGATTTGGAAGTCTTTTTGCATCTAACAAAGAAATCTTTGTTCTTTAAATAAATTATAGACATTAACCGTGAGATGAATTTGGCATCGTGATGGAATTTCTGCTATTTCGTAAAACAATCCTCTCACCATGTTAATTATAACTTATTTTTAACTCGCGGTTCGGTCAGCCACCTGCCTTAAAAATTTCAGTGCGGTAATGAAGTCTTTCTTCAAGTCGGAGTTGCCGCTAATATAGGTTTTTAGAACGTGTCAGTGTTTTGTAGACAGTCTTATAATATGCTGTTCACTAGTGTAACGACTTCTGGTTTAATTTTAAAGTAATAAATGCGATTGTACCGAATACCAGCAAAGTCAAACATCTCGGGATTCATTGTTATTGTTTTTGGCTGCGTAGTATGGGGCAGGGAGCCAAGTCGAATTCTATTTGTCATTAACTCACCTCAGTTCTTACAGTGCATGGATAGGAAATGCAGAAGCACTGGGCGCTTCGTGGCTTGCCTTTTGAACTGTACCAGTCGATCGTAAACTCGAAGCTCTCGACTTTCGTTCTTAATTAAGATCTGCTTTGACTTCATCTCTTGTTTTCTGGTCCACAGGGGCCACAGTAACTTCCTGCGATGGAAGTGTATGTGGAATTAGTTTTTCGAAAAGTATACATTAAATTGTAAACTTGCGACGTAATGTTGCATTCAGTAGTAATCGTAAAATGCTCGTGGAAGTCATTTCCTCGGCAACATATCGTCGCTAACCTGGCGTGAAACTGGCAATACGAGGTGCGATCGGAAGGTTTCCAGACTGCGCGTATAAAAACCCGTACACTTATCTCAGGTATTAAATTCATCCATCACCCTCGAAGTAGTTCCCCTGGGAGTGAAC